AACCTCGGGTTTACAGGTAAACAACCTCCATTTCACCTAATCACTACCCAATGAAATCTTTATCTCATAAACCCATCCAAGATAAGAGAAACCCATCTCACTCCCTAAATCACCTCAGTGATATCTAACAACCACAACCTCTGGTGACCATATGTCCCTTTTCTCTAACCAAATTGTTGACTCCAATTTGATGACCTAGCTTTTCTTCTATTGGTATCATAAACACTTAATCACTTAAGCAACACACAAAGCTTGTTATCTTCTCTTTCCACTACTCTATGCAACACTTATAACTTTAGTTTCATATGATTAAACACTAGAACATTCAGGAACATGATAAGCTCTAAATAAAAGCTGAAAAAGCAGAACTAGAATAATATAATTTGCAAATAATACAAGAGCTTGGAAAAAAGGATTAAAACTACCTAAATTCCATTCATGGATGCCGTAATTCAAATCACTTACAAATGATAGTGAATATTAGAATATCAATAAATGGCCAACAACTTAGTGGAAACACAAAAAAAGAAAAAACACAAATCTACCCGAATATCAATTGAAGTGACAATGTTGGTAGAGCTTTCTCTTGAACTTGAAATTTTATCAATTTTACAGTTAATTAGATAAACCCATAATTTAAAAAACCTCTAATTTGTGAAAACTAAAAGTTTCAAGTAGAATTTCACTTGGTTATGAGAAGTAAGCTAGTGGACGTTGAAGGACGAATTCGTAGGAATATTTTTTGAAGATTAGAAGAAGATTGTGATTTTTGAAGAACAATTTGTTGGAAATTTTGTGTAGATTCGAAGAAGATTGGTATTTTTGAAGAATTGGGGTTTATGAGATGTTTGCGTATGTTTCTAAAATTTGGGAGTATAGTATAATGATTACCCATATCCGATTTGAAACAATGGGTACCGTTTTTTTTTTTAATTTGTAAAATGGGCCACCAATTTATAAACATAACTATGGGTTGTGCTTTTAAATTTGGACTTATTTGGATAGCAATTTGGTTAATGGTTACCGGTTATTTTACACACTCCTACTCGATACCCCTATAAATTACCCCTATAAATTTACAATGTAACTTTAAGATTTTAAATCTTGTTAGTTTTGTGAATTAGTGAAGAGTGTTGTACATTCCCTATGTAATTAACAAGTATTGTGTCAAAGAACTCATCAACTATTTCAATTATGTCAAATAATGAATTGTGGCTCTATTACCATAAATTTTGAGAAATTACTTTACGATATCTTAAAGTCAAATCACATATCATATGTTTTAAAATTGTCAATGGCCATAAATTTTGAGAAATGACCATTTTTTTTAAATTAGTTTTTTTAACATAAAATAATATTATAACTTTTTAAAATAAAAAACTATTTTTGATATAAAACTTTATTTTTTTTAAATCGGTTTTAAAACTAGTTTTTTTATAAAACTGATTTTGAAAATGGTTTTTTTATAAAATTGGTTTTGAAATTGGTCTTTTAAAGAAAATTAAAAACTGGTTTATAAAAAGACCGGTTTAAAATTGTTTTGTTTTTAAAACTGATTTTTGTGAGAAATCAGTTCAAAACCTAACCGATCCACATGTAAATCGGTTTTAAAAATATAAATCAGTTTTAATGAAGTGGTTTTAAGATCCAAATCAAATCATATATGGTTCAATTTTGTTTAGTTATTGATTCATGCACACCCCTCTAAAGAGTTCACCAACTATTTCACTTGTGTCAAATAATGAATTGTGGTTCTGGTACCATAAATTTTGAGAAATTACTTTACTATATCTTAAGGTCAAATCACATTATCATATGTTTTAAAATTGTCAATGACCATAAATATTGAGAAATAACCAATTTTTTTTTTTAAATTAGTGTATTTAACATAAAATAATATTAGAACTTAAAATAAAAAAAATATTTTTTACATAAAACTTTATTTTTTAAAATTGGTTTTGAAACTGTGTTTTTTTTATAAAATTGGTTTTGGAATTGATTTTTTATAGAAAATTAAAAACTGATTTAAAAAAAAATGGTTTAAAATTGGTTTTTTTTAAAACTGGTTTTTGTGAGAAATTAGTTCAAAACCGAACCGATTCACATGTAAACTGGTTTTAAAAATATAAGTCGGTTTTAATAAAGTAGTTCTAAGATCCTAATCAAATCATATATATGGTTCAATTTGGTTTGACTATTGATCTATGCACACCCCTACAAAAAATTCACCAACTATTTCACTTGTGTCAAATAATGAATTGTGGCTCTGTTACCATAAATTTTGAGAAATTAATTTACTATATCTTAAGGTTAAATCACATATCATATGTTTTAAAATTGTCAATGACCATAAATTTTGAGAAATGACCAATTTTTTTTCAAATTAGTGTTTTTAACATAAAATAATTTTAAAAAATTTTAAAATAAAATTTATTTTTGATATAAAGCTTTATTTTTTTAAATTGGTTTTTTTTTACAAAACTAGTTTTGAAATTGGTATTTTATAAAATTGGTTTTGAAATTGGTTTTTTAAAGAAAATTAAAAATTGATTTTTAGAAAAAACCGATTTAAAATTGTTTTTTTTTAAAACTAGTTTTTGTGGGAAATCGGTTCAAAACCGAACCAATCTACATGTAAATCAGTTTTAAAAATATAAACCGGTTTTAATATAATAGTTTTAAGATCCAAACCAAATTATATATATGGTTCAATTTGGTTTGGCTATTGATCTATGCACACCTTGCTTGAATATTTGGAACTAGAGAGATAGAAGAGTAATTGTAGAAAACGGGTTGGATATTTGGAAAGAGGAGGAAAAGATGAAGACAGTGATGTAAGAAATGTGAGGATTGGTGGAGTTCCGCCGCCTCCGATGTGGCGAGGCAATTTTCAGTGAAATGGATATTCTGAGGAGGGAGGAGAGTTTGGTTACAATTGAAGTTCAAACGTCAAAACTCTTCTCAAACCTGATAAGCCAATCATAGCGTTTTTATTTTCAATATTTTCTTTTTGTTTTTAGTTTAATAAAATTGAGAATATGTTGAATATTAAGTAAAAATAAGTGGAACTGAATGATGTTTGTTGGGGTTAGACCGAATTGTATGGCTTAGGCTCGTTCCTTGTTTTTTGACACCTGATGCTGAAGCAAACAAAAAAGTCCTTGGTGGACTCCTCTTTGATGGGCCTAGCGCCTTACTGATCAGCATTTTCTAGATTCATTTCGGACCCTTCTGTTTGATGTCTGTTTTTTTAAAATTCTTCTAATCTTTTCTTTTGATTTTCTTTCTTAATTTTTGTTAATAAAATGTGATATAAAAACAGTAAAAAGATGTTAGGATTGCTTGATATTTTTAGATTTTATTTTTGACATTTAATTGATTAATTTATTTTATTTTCTGATAATTGTTTTGATCCAAAATATTGCCTTGTCATTGATGTCTTTTATGATTTCTTGTGATGATCTTTCTTGTTGATTTCGTGAGTTAAATTTGAAATGCTTAATACTCGAGGTTTGATGTTTATACTTGCTTATGTGATAATTCATGTTATCTTAGAATTATTAATTCAATTTTAATCTCTTAATTTAATTGAATTAATTAGATTTTAGACTTTTAATCCAAGCATGATAACAAATTAGGATTCTCTTAATCCCAACATTAGGTTCATGATGTATGATAAAATTAAGATAGACTTTCCCATTTGTTTTGTTTTTCTCTTTTGCATTACATTTCTTTTCTTTTATAAGAAAAAAAAATCTTTTCTTAATCAACTTCAAAAACACCTTAAACAAAACTCAAACATTTTCACAACTAAAGGTGTAAAAGTAGCTAAGTATCCCGGATGGGGAACCACTTACTATTCTCCCCTAATAAAACACTTCAACAAATCCAAACTTTTTTTCCTTATACTTTTCTCTTTAAAACCTTTTCAGAAAAGGTAATGTTACTTCCGTTCTACCGCAATACAGGTAACGCGTGAATCTCCACACAACGAGCAGCAACACCTAACTGTGAGAACGTGAACGCTAACCTAAATATTTTAGAAGAACTACGGAATTCTGATTTCTTCATTGCACTATAGGGATACGTAGACACTAGGTTGCAAAACCTGTGCAAATTCAATAATAAAAACATTTTCTTTTTTTCTCTATTAAATCATTCATGCATTTCCTTAGCAAGTTATAGCTTTAGATAGACACACCCTTAAAAACAAACAATCAAAGTACATCCTGTTGTGTACAATAGATGCGAGAGGTGTTAATATATTCCCTTTGCATTATCGACTTTTGCACCCTTCTCTTGGTCGCAAGACCATCTTATCCTTTCTCTTACGATTTTTTCGATGTTTTCCCTTTCTTCAGAATAAATAAAATTTGATGGTGACTTTGTATTTTTTCGTGGTACAAGACAGTCCTCTTGAAAAAATAAAATTGTTACTCATCAGATGTGTATTGTTCATCTTGGTGTGCATGAATTGTCAACTGAACTCGAAAATCTTCTCGTCTTCTATGACAATGCCAAATGATCTTAGTGTCGCGCCACAACTAAAAATATGATAAAAAATATATAGATAGAAATAAATTTTAAAAAAAAATCATATCAAATTATCGAAACAAAAGTAATTTGATGAAAAACATAATCGATCACTCACTTGAATGTGTTCTGATGAAGCATCTAACATATTACTACTAAATCAATAACATTATGTAATCGGTGATGATTAAAAAATGAAAAAATATCAAATTACTCAAGTTTAAATAGTTAAGTGAAGACCAACTTTATTAAGAAGGATTGGACCACCAACTTTAATTATATTACCAAAGAAAATTAGTCAAGTCTAAAGTAAATTCTTCACTCTTGACTTGTAAGTCACAACTCCAAGTCACACCTATATCACTATATAATATCTACATCCATATTATGATTCTCACAAATCACAACCAACTACAAAACAATATCTTAAGTTTTCTTTCTACCAAATATCAACTTTCAAAACCAACATGGCGAAGTTTACCCTTCTATTCCTTCTCCTTACTCTACTCTCAATGGCAACATCAACACCAACAAGTTTCATCACATCCTCATGTAGCACAACACCATATCCAACACTTTGTGTTGAATCTCTTTCTGTCTACGCAACAACAATCCAACAAGATCCACACCAATTAGTCCAAACAGCTTTATCACTTAGCCTCAACAAAACTCAATCCACAAAAGGCTTTGTTACAATGTGCAATACCTTCAAAAATCTTAAACCAATAGAATATGCTGCTCTTCATGATTGTGCTGAAGAAATTAGTGATAGTGTTAATAGACTTAGCCGTTCATTGAATGAGCTTAAACTTTGCAAGATCAATGGTCAAGATTTCAATTGGCATATAAGCAATGTTGAGACATGGGTTAGCTCAGCTTTGACTGATGAAACCACTTGTGGTGAAGGATTTGGTGCTAAAGCACTTGATGGAAGAATCAAAGCCTCTATTAAATCTAGAATGGTTAATGTTGCCAAATTCACTAGTAATGCTCTTTCACTTATTGATCAATATGCTGCTAAGCACATGGAAGGAATGAATCTCTAGGAATAAAAAAATTTGCCAATAAGGTTGTTGAGAAATACTTTAATGTGGTTGGTTTATGTGATGTGTGTAATGTGTAATGTGTAATTACATATCTATATATAGAGTGAAATAAATTTACTATTTTTATATCATTTTCTTGTCTGCACCTTTCTAGCTATACTTCATCTTAATTTCTAGAACTTGGGATGTAATGTTCATGACCTAACATTTTTTTTATAGAAGTTATTTATGGCTACATAATTGGTAGGTTGAAGTTTTGTTTTCTTTATTCATATTTATACATTGATGGATTCAGAATTTATAATTATATTACTCACAATAAAATTAATGTACCTTTTTCAAGTTAAATTAATAAAAATAATTGGTTAACTTAAGATAATCAAATTACTGAATAGAATTCCTCCTCCTTCTCTCCTTGATTACTGAATGGAAGACTTCAACTCGATGAGAGGTATGGTGCTTTTATTATAAATATGTTATCAATGAATGTGGTCAGACAACTTGCTACGGCAAGATACAATGTGTGGTTGTGGTAAAGTTTGATGATGAGATGGTATGGAAGTGAAAAATGGGAGAGGTGTTTAAGAAAACTGGGTTTCAAATGTAGAAAATGATGAGGAAAATTGATTTTCTAATTATTTAATTTTTAAAATAGATTTTGTTTGGCAAATCAAACCTCTTTAATAAATTCACCACTACCTTTGAACAAGATAGACATCCAATTTCAACCTAATAATTTAATTAAAAAGCAAGGCTTCACCACAATTTCAAACACAATTATTAAAAACTACCTTATTCCTATATAACCACACACCAACACACTAATAACAAAAAACAAAAAAAAAGAGAGGATATGGTTTCTTTAGAGATATGTCAAATTTTAATAAATTTTTAGTTCATATGGGACTTGTTAACCTATTACTAGAACAAAAATACATTTTTAGTTAAGATTATTAAATCGGTTTGCTTTTTACCAAACATATGAAAGGATATAGCGGTAATTTTTTAATTACTGTTGCCAGGTCGGGTTCTAACTTCTCCGACTTAACATTCAAAATTAAAAATTTATTTAAATGTTTTAGATATGTTAGTGCGTGAGACACCTTTAGTGAGGATAGAAAGAGAGAGAATAAGAAAATAAAGATTGTATCATTGAATTGAATTGTTACAAACTGATGTACTAACTAGTTTAGTTATATACAACTACCTTGTATACTAAGTAGGCTAACAAACCCTAACTGGGCTTGTGCTTGAATTACACAACTTGGATTTTATCTAATATCTCAATACACCCATATAATCCAAGTTGTCGAACCTACACTAGTCATAATTGATCTAAACTATTCCTAATTTCTTTCTTAGATTTAGGAATCTGTCGATCTTAAATCCTTTGGTGAAAATGTTGTCCAATCGTGCTTCACTTGAGAAATACCTTACTTTAAGTTCACATCGATTTACATTTTCCCTTAGGAAGTGAAATCTTGCTTTGATATGCTTACTCCATCAATGCAAAATTGGATTCTTTGCAAGATTAATGACTGACTTGTTGTCGATCTGTAACACCAAAGGTTTCTTCACTTCGACCTTGATCTCTTCCAACACAGATCTGGTCCAAATTGCTTGACATGAAGCATAGGATCATGCGATATATTCAGCCTCACACGATAACAATGCCACCACGGGTTGCTTTCTCAAGCACCATGAGATTTAGACATCAAATACTTGAAAGAAATAATCGGTTGTGCTTCTTCAATCTTCCTTATCTCCACAATAATCAACATCTAAAAAGCAAGTAAGTGTTGCATCTTTGTTTTCAAAGTCTCTTTGAAATTGAATTTCACAGTTTACCGATCCTTTTAAGTATCTCAGGATTCTTCTTGCAGCCGTCATGTGTGACAGCCTTGACTCACTCATGTATCTACTCACTAATCCGACTGTGAAACCTATATCAGGTTGAGTGTTGCACACATACCTCAAAGATCTAAATATTTGTTTAAACAAAGTTACATCGACTTTGTCTTCCTCTCCATGCTTCTCCAACTTCAAATTTGGTTCGACAGATGAAGATGCTAGAGTTGAATCATCCATCCTGAATCTCTTGAGTATCTCTTTGACGTACTTCCTTTGATGTAGAACCATACCTTGATTCAACATTTGAAATTTCCTGCCTAGGAAATAAGATAATTTTTCCATATTCGACATTTCAAATTCCTTCATCATCAGCTCTTTGAATTTCAACAAATTCTTCAAGCTATTTCCAGTTACCAGCAAGTCATCGACATATAAGCAGATGATTGTTATATCTTGTGCTATAACTTAAACATAGACACCATACTCATACTTGCATTTTACAAATCCCAAATCGACTAAGTATGAGTTAATCTTCTTTTCCATGCCATAGGTGCTTGCCTGAGGCCATAGAGCCCTTTGTGCAACTTATATACTTTACTCGCTTCCTTTTGAATCACAAACCCTAGAGGTTATGTGACATAGACCTCTTTGTCTAAAGGACCATTCAGAAATGTTGATTTCACATCTAAATGAAATGTCGACTAACCTTGCTTGCATGCCAAGGCTACCACTAGTTGAACATTCTCAAAACTTGCTACTGAAGCAAATACTTCAGATTCATCGAGTCATGCTCTTTGAATAAATCATCGAACTACCAATATTGATCCATCAACATTATGTTTCAACTTGAACACCCATTTCCCTTCTATAGCCTTTATGTGTGTTGGCGATTCGACTAACCATCATGTGTTGTTTCTTTCAATTGCGCATAACTCTTCGACTATAGATGAGTTCCATTGTTTATTCTTTAAAGCCTCATTATAGTTTATTGGTTCAACACCTGCAAGTAAAGCCAAATGAACTAATTCTCCATCTGGTGTTACTTCATCATCACCAATTACTTCATAGTCTTGAAGTCTTGTTGGAAGAACTCTAGTTCTTTGAGGTCTTTGACTTGTGATAGCCACACCCTCTTTAACTTCGACCGTGTCGGGAATGTCAGCAATAACTTCAACTTTGATTGGAATATCTTCAATTTCTTCGACTTCGACTTCATCAGTTTCTCCGTCGAATCCATAGCTCATCAATGGCTTGTTAATTGCATCATCAGAATTCCAATCCCATACAGAATTTTCATCAATCACAATGTCTCGACTTATCTCAATTTTCTTATTAATTGGATTGAATAGCCTGTATGCATAAGTTTTATGATATCCTACCATAATAATAGGTTCACTTTTGTCATCAAGCTTCCTTCTTCTTACATTAGGAACATGCTTGTAACACATAGAGCCAAACACCTTCAGATAAGTCATTGATGTTCGTTTTCCGCTCCACACTTCTTCAGGAACCATTTTCTTCAATTTATTTATAGGGCACATGTTCAAAATATAAACTATAATCAAAACAACTTCACCCCATAAGGATTTTGGAAAATTCTTCTGTTTCAGTATGCATCTCACCATATCCAATATGGTCTTATTTCTTCTTTCTCAAATTCCATTTTGTTGAGGCGTATAAAGAGAAGTTACCTGATCGCAAAAATAGCATGTGTACTATTTTGCCTCTGCAGTAATAATGAGGAAAGTTCCCCATATGTCGATCTCAAAGAATGTGTATAAATATGGAGCTCGAACTGTTATTCATGTAAACAAAAACTAGAGTTTGGGTTTGATTTTCTAAAATAAAATAATTGTGAATAAAATAAATAGATGTGAATGACTATTTTGATAGATATGAGTACCATGCTAGGGAAGATGTATGATTTTCCCTGTAATAATCTTGAATCCTGATTTCTTCAAGAAGTTCATAATACTCAATTGCCAACCCTTTAGGTTATTTTCCCCTAAGTCCTTAGTGGGAAAATCTTTGAACATTCATCCTAAATCCTAAGTCCTTAGAGAATTATTGTGATACGGTGGCCAGAACCGGAATGTTTTGAAATGCTGGTTTGCGTTTTGCGTTTGTTTTCGCAAAATGTCGCGGTAAGCAAGAGTCGCCACCGTCTTTTATTTTATCCAACAAGGAAAGGAAAAAAACACAGAAAAATTCCTTTTTCGAGATATTTCTGAGTACGGGGGGTAGATTGTAGAAAGGGAAGGTATTAACACCCTTTCTATCCGTAGTTATCTACGGGCTCTTAGGTACTTGCTCATCGTTTTCAAAATTATTTTCTTTGTGTTTGTGGGCTTTGAAAAGTTTTTGTTTTAACTTCGATTTAACTCTTGCTTCTATCTTCAAGAGTGTAATGAAGTGTTTTTGAAAACTTGCTTGTAAAAGAGTGTAAGTGTGAAAAAATTTGTTTTGATTGAGCAAGTACTTAAGAACTAATCTACCTACTCGAAAAAGGAATCGTTCTATGTTTTTTTCCTTTAGACAATGTTATCCCATTATTAGTGAGTAGGTAACACCGTCGTTGGAGTTTTAGGGTCAATTGGAAAGGGACATACAGTCACTAAAGCAACGTTAGGACATCTTAGTGGTAACCCTAATGTCTTAGATCATTTATCCGAGGCAACAATATCCGAGGCAACTTATGATCTTTTAGACAAGAGGGCGACCTCTAAAACAACCTATACTCAATGACCATTTACGAAGACAACCAAGTGGGAGTGTACCCTAGGAGTGCGCATGTGCGAGTGTATTTATTTCAGATTATTTATCTTTACACATGTTTAGGGTGATCTAACTGTTTAAAATTAGTCATACATTCTTGTCATGCAAACCCTAATTATTCACATATCTAGCAGTTAAATAATTTGCAGAATATAAAGTGCGGAATTTAAACTAAACTATTACAAGGCTTCGGGTATTTACATAGCCAAAAACAAACCCTTTGAAATTTAAAAGCGGTAAAAATAAATAAATGTCCTAATTTAATTATTACAAACCGGGAGCAGATACAATAATTGGATAAAAATAAAGCGCGCGAGAAAATTAAATCGAATGCGAAAACTAGGGTTTTGACCCTTCTATCCTAATTAAAAGAA